TCTCTCTCTCTCTATATATATATATTATATGTATAGTTATATACACATTGTTCAACAAAGCGACAACTTAAATGTGCCATAATGCCATCTTAATATTACTGTGGTAAGGAAGCCTTTGAAGATGTCAAAATAGTGCAATAACTCTTGCACAATGTTTCCTGAGAAATTTCTTGAGGAAAAAAGGAAGAGGGTTTAATTCTAAGAGAAGTGAATATTAATTCCACCAACAGTGCCTCGATTGGGGGGGGTGTTGTTTGGTGGTGTATGAGCAAGTGTTACTCCTTTTATGTTTGTGAGTGGATACATGGAAATTTGTAACTTCTGCATACACTTGACTGGTCTACTTGCTTCTTTTTTTCTTCTCCCCCCCTTCGCGCATTGAATGGACTACATACATGATACATTTATTGGTATTTGTTTATATTTGTTTATTTTCTTTTCTCCCTTTTGGGTGAGAAGGGTGTGCATAACTAAACTGAAATTTTTAGGTCAAGACTGGATTGTATATCACTTCCCTGGAGATAGGCCAACATAATCTCTTTTCATATAAGTCGATATAGTCCAAGTTGAGTGATTGACTTGCTGACACTATTGTGCAGATACTTCCGACTCAAGAACTGTCATCACTGAGATCATCAAGTCTAAAGTGAAGGTTAATGAAGGAGACTCCACCCAGAGTGGCATTAATCTTGTAGTAGAGAGTACTGCAGGAACAATTGTTTTTGTGCCTCCAGCTCAAGCCCTCGAACAACCCCTGGATATTGGCTCAAGTTCTACCAAAAAACGACGTAAGAAGGCTAAAAAGAAATCTCGGGACGATGCTCAGTGAGTAATGTCTTTTATTGATCAAAACATTTTTTTTTTACCAAGGTCATTATTTCGGTTTATGATCCTCTGGTATGATGTTCCAACTTATATTTGTGCTTTTGAGTTTCATTGTCATGTTTAGTGACTTTTGTGACCCTTGCTGCATCTTCTGTGCTCATTTTGCATTTGCATATGGTTTCACAATTGTAGCATTTGGTATGATGGAAAATGTTTTCCATTACGGAAATCAAGTTTATTTGGACGGAAACTGTTTTTCATTTTTGAAAGATGGAAAACGTTTTCTGGACTAAAGACTTACCACTGTCACCACACCATTACAAACACTATTCTACACCATACCACCCCACCCCAACACCACCTCTGGCACTGCCACACCTCCACCACTACCTCTGCCATCTCCACCACCACTAATACATTAGTTTTGAGGACGCAACCAAACATAAAAAAAAATATTTTCAGTTGAAACAAATGGAGCTTTAGTTTTTGCACTACCGTATGAGATTTCTTTGATTTCTTAGTTATTTATGGTTTCTTCTTAAAAAAACTTCATGAAGATTATTCTTTAATCTTGCTTAATTAAGTTTCATTCTTTCTGATTATGCAGGTTGCCAGTTGCTGTGGTGGCATAAAGTCAAATTCCTTCTTGTTCAATGAGTAGCTCAAATGTCTGTATTTTTTTGTTTGGCAAAACGAAACAACCTCATTTTTGTTTTTGGATGTCCAACGCTCTCATAACAAAATGATCTTTTAATCCGACAACATTCTCAATATCGCATTGTTGACTCTCCTGATTGAGTTTCCCCTAGTTTTCTACACACCACTAAAACATATGAATGTATAACATATATTCTCTTTTTCTTGGGTGCTTCGTGTAGCGTTTCTGATTTGGTCGAATTAATCGAAACTCTTTCTGGAAAAATTTGCAGGTTTCAAGTTGCTGTGCAATGTTGCTTTGAATGAAGACCATCCCTTGTCTCAAGCGTACTATTTCTTGTTTTTTTTTAACCGTACTTTTTCTTGTTGGATGTTGAACTTTTTTCCAGTAATATATAAGATATGTATCAGATATTTGGGACAAATCTTACATTATCGATTAATGTGTTGTTGGTCATCTGTTGTAGTTTAAGGCCATGTTTGTCGGGATTGGATTTGGGGGGGGGGGCAATGCAAATCCCTGGATTGTCCCTGGACTAATATATAGTTCCACCTTTAGTGTTTGGAAATACAAATCACTGGTCTGAATTAATGCTTGAACTACGGGACACCGTAGGATTAGATTAGAATCATTTGATAACCTAACAAAATTCTACAAAACTCCCCCCAAATTCACCAAATTCATGCAATTCTAATATTAATTTTTAGAACTGGATTGATAGCCTATGACAACCCCGGTGTTAGGTCCCTAAGTTTTGTCAAACCCGTGAACAAACTTGTGTGATTGAGTTGTAATTTTCCTTACTGTTTTGTGTTGCTCGCTCGAGCAACGAAGTGCTCGCTCGAGCGAAGAACTGCGTCTGCATAAAAACCTGAAAGAGTTTATTCCTCACTCGAGCGAAGGTTTCGTGGCTCGAGCGAAGGCACTTATGGAAATCACGTGAGTTAAGGTTCTCGCTCGAGCGAGAGAAGCTTCGCTCGAGCGAGCTTCAGAATCCGAATTTCTATAAGTAGTTGGTTTTCTCCAAAATTTAGGATTACTCTTTCAGATCTACTTTGAGGTTTTCTAAGGTTTTCTTCTAGAGAGTTTTTTGTGAGTTTTTCCTTGATAAAATTGATTGAGTATTAAACTCATGAATTGAGAAGCATACATCAAGGAGGTTGATCAAATACATACAAGAGTGTTATTCTTCGGTGGATTCCAAAGATTCAAACATAGAGTTTCAAAAGGCATTTGATTTTGTACGTAGTCGTTAATTCGACAAGTGAAGTTGTGGATTCAACTTCAGATGAATCAGTTCTGAGATGAAGGCTTGGCGAAAAAGTTACAAAAGATTCGAAGGCAAATTGACTGAGTTAGGTAATTTGTGTATTATCTTTGTAATCTTTCTTTCTTCAGTAGTGGATTGATTAGTGGCGTTTCGCCCGTGGTTTTTGATTACAATTGAAGGTTCTTCAATTGTGATTTTTTCCACGTAAAAATCGTTTGTGTCGATTTAATGTTTATTCAAAAAAACAACAATCTAAATTACTTTCGTAAGTGCTTGATGATTTAGATTGCATGTTTTGAATAATTGGGATTTAAAATATTTTAATCTTGATCTAATCACGAATCACTTAGGATTTTCAATTGGTATCAGAGCGGGTCACTCTTTGTTTTTATCTAAACTATAGGAGTGTGATTTTGTGTGACTAGTGATATGGATTCTATTCGTGAAGGTAACTCGACCCATAGACCTCCTTTATTCGATGGTACAAACTATTCTTACTGGAAGCTCGTATGAGAGCGTTTTTAAAATCCATCGATGGGAAAGTTTGGCACTGCGTGATCTATGGGTGGAGTGAACCTACTATCACCATTGATGGTGTTGATATTCCTAAACCCCTTGATAAATGGGACACAACTGATTACCAAAACTCGAGTTGGAACAGCAAGGCTCTCAATTCCCTGTTTTGCTTCGTCACACCTGAAGAGTTTCATCATATCTGCACGTGTGAGGTAGCAAAAGAGGCTTGGGACATTTTGGAAACGATTCACGAAGGTACTACTTCTGTCAAAAGGTCAAAACTTTAACAACTCACCTCCTCTTTTGAAACCCTTTTTATGCGCGATGATGAGACGTTTGATGATTTCTATGCAAAACTCAGTGATATTGTGAATTCTTGTTTCACACTCGGTGAAAAAATCCCAGAAGCTAAAGTTTTTGGAAAAATTTTGAGGTCATTACCCGAGAGGTTCCAGTCAAAAGTGACAGCCATTGAGGAGCCTCAGAATGTTGATACCCTCAAGCTTAATCAGTTGGTTGGAAACTTGCAGACTTATGAAGCCCACCAGATTTCAAAGAAAAAACAAAAAGAAAGTGTGGCCTTCACTAGTGCTCATGAGACAGCAAAAACTCCGGAGACTGAATTTGATTTAGAGTCTGAGATAACAGCTATGTTTACTAAACAGTTTAAAAAAATTTTGAAGAAAAGAAGCCTAATTTCAGAGACCCTATTTCAAAAGACAAGAGTAATGAAAAACCCAAAACTTTTCCACCAAAACTTGCTTCAAAAACTGAAAAGAAGATTGTAAATGGGCAAGGGGTCAAGTGCTATGAATGTCAAGGGTTTGGTCATATTGCCCTTGAATGCCCTTCGAAAAAGAAATGAAAGGAAGTCTACATTGTGACTTGGGATGATGAAAGCGGGTCGAAACAAGAAGCCGAAGAACCTGAATCTGAAGAAGACGAGGATAGTGCTTTCATGGCATTTTGGTCCACTTTCACTCAACCTCTTCCAAAGGCAACGGAGTTAGCTCGTGGTCAGAACCTGCATCATGCTCCCACCTTTGATGGGAGTAACTACCTGTATTGGAAGATCAGAATGAGGGTTTTTCTAAGAGCTTTTGATCCAGAAGGCTGGCAGGCCATTGAAGAAGATACAGAAAGTGCTGACAATCCGAGCAATCAGAGAGCCCTGATTACTATTCGTGAAGCAATTACTGATGAAGAAAAGCAACGGGTTGCTCACTACACAAAGGCTAAAGATGCATGGGAAATTCTGAGCCAATTTCATGAAAGAGGAGATTCACTTTCACCACCATCCAGCAACTTTCTCGCCTTAGTTGCTAGATTGGATGAGGTCAAGGAGAATGAAGAGCAAAAAGAGGATGATGAAACATCAGAAGACAATGATGAGATTAATGGTGATGAACTGCAACAAGCTTACGAAAAGCTTTACGAGGAATCTCTAAATTTGTCCAAAATTAATGACAAACTCTCTCTCAAACTCAAAGCATGTGAAAGTGAGAATGTCAAGCTAAAAGGAGAACTTGTAGCAGCAAGGCAGAATATCATCAAGATCTCAAGTGACAGGCAAGACTTATGTGGAAAACTTCTTTCCTGTGAAACTGAAAGGAATGAACTTCGGAAGATGTATTCCACATATGAAGAGAAGCTTGAAAGCCTTGAGATGTCACAAGCTACATTGGAAGAGATAGTCTGTCAGAAAGATGAAGAACTCCGTATTGCTAGAGCCACAATTGTTATATGGAACAAGGGTTCCAAATCTGTAGAAGACATCCTCGGGTCTCAACAAATGGGTTAGGGGTAAGCAGCGGATAAACCGATTCGCTAAAACTGACCGAACCGAACCAATCCACCGCATTTTGGACGGATGCGTGATGACGAGCGGACGGTTGCGGATTGATTTTCTCCAATCCGCCAATTTGGCGGATGGATGGCGGATTTGAGGTTCCTTTGGCCGCAACCGAACCACTAAACCGCCAAACCGCAAGCACCCTTAGTAATTTATAAGACTTTGTGTTTTCAATTTGTTTAAATATTTTGTTTGTGTTTTAAATTGAAAAAGAGTTCAAATATTCTGTTGAATAAAAGTCTTCAACTTGAATATGTTTTTTGAATTGAAAAAAATAAACGTATTATTTATCTATATTTTTTTGTTTTTAAATCTAACTCTAAAAGTAATAAATAAAAAATATGATATATGTTGGTTGGTTTTTGTTTTCAAAAACATATATAAATGCAACAATATAGAGACATACAATCTTTACTATTGCTCTATTCATGGTTTTGGTGGTTTGAATTGTTTTTATATTTTAAGAATCACAGATTGTAATATTTCATGTAGATGAGGCATGCAGTGATTGTGATATTTTAAAATTTCAAACTTTCTTTCTTTGGATGAGGCATGCAGTAATTGTAATACTTTTTTAAGTCGTTGACTGTAATCCTTTCTTTTTTTTTTTTTTTTTTGAGGAAGTGCACAAGTTGAACTATGTTGAAAATTTATAAAATTTCAAACCGCCAAACCGATTCGCATCCATCCGCCAAACCGACAATCTACTCAATCCACACCCGCCGGATTGGCAGACGGATGCGGATTGATTTTCTCCAATCCGCCAATCTGGCGGAGGGATGGCGGATTGGAAGTTCCGTGGCCGCAACCGACCCGCGCCCACCCCTAAAATGGGTTGTGACAAAAGTGGGCTAGGCTATGGTGCGACAGCTCATAAGGGACAGGCCTCTACCTCACATAACCTAAATACTCAAGCAAAGGGAAAGTTGAAGGTAGACCAGGATGATTCCTCTCTTCATCTACCGAAAGTGAGTAAGATTAACAAAAGAGAGGTAAAACCTATTTTTATTTGACATCACTGTGGTAGGTATGGCCACATTCGTCCTTATTGCTATGAATTGTTTGGTAAGGTGTCTCAAAAGGGTAGAAATTTGAATACTTTTTGGGTTAGGAGACAACTTTACATGTCTAGGCGGAATACCAAGATTCATGAGGGTGTTCACAACGCCAAGACATTGACCAAGACCAAAAAGATTTGGGTGAGAAAAGATGATTTGACTTGTTTAGGTGTTCACACTGCCCTAAAAGCACGTGACTCACACATGTGGTATCTTGATAGTGGCTGCTCTCGTCACATGTCCGGTAACAAATCCTACTTCACCTCCCTTGAAAAATA